GGGACAGATTCCCTGTATCCAGGGAAGAGAGTAGGGCTCAGGGAAACAATCTACAGCTCCTGGATACACCTACAAGTTCCAGTCTTTTGATACAAGTCTGCCAAATGATGAGAGTTAATTTTAAGACTGTCAAATGGTAATGTTCTCCTGAAACCTTTTTCTGCACCAGCAGGGTACCAGTATAATAGCAGATTACAGCAGAATACTGCTGCAAGACACGGATTCCCTTTCAACAGAAGTACTTAGAACTAAGTTCAAGATCCAACGGAAGGAGACAAGCTGATGTGAACCCTACAGCTACAACAAGTATGTGGTACCCTAGTTACTAACAAAATTAACACAAATTCTCACACGAAAAGCCTACATGCCACAATTCCAAGTACCCATAAAGCAAATGTGACTTTTCTAAAACACCCTCTCCTATTCCAATGTCCCAAAGTTTTTCTCTTGTGTTTTTTTTTCTAATTATTTCGCATTTTTTTTCAGTTTTTATACTTAAATCTATTATTCACTTTGAGTTGAATTTTGTAACTGGTATGAGATAGAAGTCTAATTTCATCCCTTCATACTCATACACAATTTTCCAAACACATTTCATTGTAAAGAAATGCTATTTCTCCAGTGTGTGCTCTTAGCATCTTTGTTGAATATCAGATGTCTGTACATGCATATGTTGGCCTCCAGGCCCCTATTCTGTTAGTTTATGTATGTGTTTTTATGCCATCACTATGCTACAGATATGTAGAAGTCAGGGAATATAATGCCTCTTAATTTCTTGTTTTTTCTCAAGAAGGTTTTGGCCAGTTCTTTGGTGTTTTGTATTATTTTTTTTTTGGGGGGGGAGGAGGGGTTGCGATTCCATATAAATTTTAGGATTGCTTCTCTAGAGTTGTGAAGAATGTTATTGTTATTTAGAGAGAGACTACCTTGATACTGTAGATTGATTATTATAGCATAAACATTTTAACAATATTGACTTTTTCTTTCTTTGGTATCAGGGATTGAACCCAGGGGCTAACCACTGAGCCACATTCCCAACATTATTTATTTTGAGACAGGGTCTCCCTAAGTTGCTTAGGGCCTCACACATTGCTGAGGCTGATTTTGAACTTGTGATCCTTGGCCTCAGCCTCCCGAGCCTCTAGGATAACAGACATATGCCACCATGACTAGCAACTATGTTGATTCTTTTAATCTTTGAATATGGAATGTCTTTGCATTTTTCTGTATCCTCAGTGTCTTCCGCCAGTGATTTGTAGTTTTCATTGTAGAGGTTTTCCACCTCTTTAGTCAAATTTATTCTTTTTATTGTAACTATTGTAAAATGGGATTGCTTCAGATCATTTATTATTACTGTATAGCAATGCTATTGATTTTTGTTTCATCCAGAGACCTTTCTGAATTCTTTTATTAGTTCTGGTGGAGGTTTTGTGTTTTTCTATATATAAGGTGTGTCATCTGCAAACAATGATGAATAACTGCTACTTCTTCTGGTTCTTCTTCTTCTTCTTCCAGTTTGGATGATTTTGATTTCTTTGTCTTGCCTGATTACCCTTCCAGTACTTCCAAATATTAGTTTAAATGAAGTGGTAAAAGTGAGCATTCTTCTCTTCCCATATCTTGGAGCATGAGCTTTCAGTTTCCCCCACTTAGTACAGGGTTAACTGTTGGTTACTTATTTACAGATTTAAATATATTGAGGTATATTCTTTCTGTACCTAATTTGTTCAAAATTTTTATCATGAAGTCAGGTTAAATTTTATCAAATGCCTTTGAGTTGTTAGTCAACTTTTTCTCACCAAAATACCTGAAAGATGAACCTAGAGGAGGGAAAGTTTATTTTGGTTCATGACTTCAGAGGATCCATTCCATGGTTAACTGACTCCATTGCTCTGGGGTCCTGAAGTGAGGAAGAACATCATGGTGGAAGGAATGATGGAGGAAAATTCCTCAGCTCAAGGCTGTCAGAAAGCAAAGAGGTAAAGAGAGAAACAAGTGACAATAGATAGTCCCCAAAGGCACATTGCTAGTGACCTAGCTCCTCCAGTCATGCCCTACCTGCTTAAAGTTACCACCCATTTGTCCACTCAAATTAATCCATCCATTAGATTAATTCACTGATGAGGTTACAACCCAAATGATCCGAACATTGTCTAAAATCCACACCTCTGTACCTTGTTTCATTGGGAACCAAGCTTCCAACATAAGAGTTTTTGGGTGGAAATTCCAGATCCAAATCATAACACTTTTTCTTAATCTATTGGTATGATTTTTGTCTTTCCTTTAAATGATTCATGCATATTCAACAACTCTTTCATCCCTGGAGTGAAATCCACCTTACCATGTTGAGTAGTCTTTTAATGTGCTATTTGATTTCATTTGTAAGTACTGCATTATTTTACCTATATGTAGCCTATTAAAAGTTGTTTCAATAGAAATTACAATTATATGGAGATTTCCAGAGGTTGGAGAGACTGGGGAACAGATAGATAGGGAATGTTGGAACAAGGCGCAATAAGTTATGATTAGATTGATGTTCTGTGTGTTACTGAAGTGGAGTGAACACAATTTATGATTGTGTATTGTAACCTAAAAGCTGAGAGACAAAAGTGGTTTTTTCCCAAAAAAGAAGTGATAAATATTGGAATAAATTAATACATTTAACCTGATTACACAGTATATACATGTTTTGAAACACCACGTGTAACCTCATTAATATGTGCCATTTTGTGTCTTTACACATCAGTAAGAAATAATTTTAAAAAAATGACAACAAAAAACATTTTGCATTTAACAACAAAAAAAATACAAGTCATTCAAAAACATTAAAAACTCCACATACTGAAGAAAAAAATCAATCATCAGAGCTAAACTCAGATTAAAGATGATGTTGAAATTAACGGGCTGAGAACCTCAATTTATCTGTGGATATATGTTTATAGATTATTTAACTTATTCTGTTAATAAATTATGTTTTTGGTTTTCTATTGGTGAACTTTCCTTTCATTCTTTAAGTAAAACTCTCTTTGACTTGAAGTATTGCCTATTTCATATATTACTGTATTATATTTGTTAAAATATTCGTAAGAATTTGGCATTAATGCTGATGAGAAATACGGACTTATACTTTCTCTGTAGAGGACATTACATTTTTTACTGGAAATTTGTTATCTTCAAAAAATACAATGATGTGCTTCATCTTAGTTTCTGAAAGACAAACTGTTAAGAATTCACCAGTGTAATCATTGTCTCTTAATTTTTTATTTTTAGCAAAGTTTTTAATCATTGATTCTATTTCTACATGAGCTATAGAACTATTCAGGTATTTATATTTTCTTGAAAAATTTTAGTAAATTTAACTTAAGATAACTATGTTTTAGATAAAAATAATATGGTTTTCACTTTTTTCCTATGACCTATTTTACACAAACACAAAGATAAATATTACAACAAATACCTTACACTTCTACATTGCTTTTTTAGTGAAAAAAAACATTTAAGCTAAATTTCATTATTATCATAAAAGCCTTTGAACTTTTAGATACAGAATTCTTTTATTTTCCTGAAGTAGAAAATGTAGATATTGGTAACAATTCATTTAATGAAAAGGAGAAAGAGATAGATGAGAAAAAGGGATTAAAAAAAGAAGACAAGAGTAGAAAAGAATGTCAGTAAAGGTAAGAGAAAGAAGTTGGAAAAAAATAATCATGAAGTAAATTAAGTTCTTATGTTTAAGAGAAGGATATTGGCATAGCTTAATGATGTTATCAATTCATCTCCGTTTATTGTGATCAAAGAATTAATGCTCATGACCAATTGATTATGTAAGATAAGGTTTATTATATTATGTTAGATCCTGAAAGGCAAACATTTGCAGATATGCAAATGATTCCCCATCCAGTACAAAGAGAGATGAAGAAAATCGTCACTACACAACATCACTATTCAAATGCCAGCATCTAGTTCATCCAGTTTCCTTCACATTACAGTCAGAAACCATGTGGTCCAACTAGAAGTTCAGCTATAAAGACAAGATGAGAAAAGCACACAGGTTGTGGAATGAAGTTTTCAAAACAATCAAGGGCAGGCATTGTAAATTTTCAAGTATTTATTCAGAAGTATCCAGAGATCCCGTATTCTCCACTGCATGATGGGCGGCAGCATCCATATCCATAGCTTCTGTAGCCGAAACCATATCCGGGTTCTCCAAAGCCAGAGCCACATCCATATCCGTGGCCTCCAAAGCCACAGCCACCTGTCAGTCTGCGGAAGCTGCCATATCCATAGCCTCTGCCATATCCACAGCCATATCCACAGCCATGGCCATAGCCCAGGCCACCAAAGCTTCCAAAGCCGCAGCCCAGGCCTCCGTAGTAGCTGCCGTAGTAGCTCATGGTGTCAGGAGTGGTGAGTTGGTTTGGGGTTGTAGAGCAGTTGTGTGAATGCCAGTGTCCAGGGACTCCTTATATACTCTGATGGTGTAGAAAGCCGCACCTCCAAATGCCATCTCCATTAGAACAAATTACTTGAAAATGATGCCAACTACTTTGTTTTCTAACAACCAACCGCTTATGGGTGCAACTAGCTCTTTAAAAATTATGCAATGTGTTTGATGTTCTGCTTTATTTGGATTCCTACAAAAACATTTCAGCTCTAATAAAATACTGTGGTGTTTACATTCTTCATATACGTTTGAGTTTCTGAGTTTCAAACTCCATAAAGAAATCCTTACAGCTTCACATATTCAAATTGCGTCACATGAGCTTGCATTTACCTTCTAATTGTATTTTTTCCTTTGACGGTCTATGGTTGCTTATTCTTTTCCAAGCTCATTCTTTTCCAAGTGTGTACTACCATTCTGCCGAGAATTTGCATGAATTTAATCGTAATTGTTCCCTGAAATGTTCCTCCTGTTTTAAAAATGGCAGTCAGCTATGATGCATGTCTTGATACAAAATGCTTTTAAAGTCAGCTGAGAATCATATTTTGTAGAGCAATGGTGATGCTTATTTTTTAAACAGCCACAAAATGATGTCAAAGGAATTTCCCAGGCCTCATGTCTCCTGTAGAGACAGCCTGGTTGGTAGATAACTTGAAAGACTGCTTAGAGAAAGCCTTCCTAATTCTTTGTAAATAATTTTTCCACAAATTTATTCTTATTTTGGATTATAAATTCTATAAAATCATAGAACAATGTAGTTACAGAATTTAAAAAAAATATTTAGATGACTGTTTTTTTAAACAATAAGAAAAGTATAATTTATAGAATCAGAATTATGTGGCAATGATCTTTAGTGGCAGGTAAAGACTAAAACCTAAATGTTTTAATTTTTGGCCTTTGTCCAACAGGTAATTTGAATTAAGAATATAATTGCAGTTTAGACTGTTGCATGCAGTGGTGCATACCTGTAATTCCATTAACTCAAGAGGCTGAGACAGGAGGATGAAAAGTTCAAGCTCATTTTCAGCAATTTAGCAAAAACCTGTCTCAAAATAAAAAATAAAAAATAACATAATAGAAAGTACTGGGGATATAGTTCAGTTGTAAACACCCCTGGTCAATTCTGGTCAATTCCGTGTGTGTGTATGTGTATGTCTGTGTGTGTGTGTGTGTGTGTGTGTATACATGAATGAGTGAAGGTTAGTAAGGTTAGAAAATTTCTTGTACAATATTCAATTGTCTCATGTTCTGTTTATTCACACTATAATAGTAAAAAATGCATGTGACATAAGACCAGTTAATATGCATATTTAGCTACTTTGATTATTTTAAAGTTCAAATTAATATAATAACACCAAGATAATAGATGATATTTGAACTTCATTTGTATTTGTTAAATAAGTTTCTCTTATAAGTTTAAGAGTAAAATGTAATTGGCTGCTTATATATTTCCATATAGATGGTACTTTGTAACTTACAAATTTAGCAGAATTATTAATGATAAATAACTGCTCTACTTGAGCCTACTTCAGTTAGGGGCATTTAGGTTCCATGAAATTTAAGCTAACAGTTTTAAAAGACCATTACCTTTATCACTTCTCATGAGCCAGACAAATTTTGTAGTGACAAGGTCAATTTTATTTATCAAAAATAGTAGATCTCCCTCCTCTGTATGTAAAAAGAGTTAACATGAGCATACTTTAGAGATACATGCATACCCATTTTGTGGTGCAAAATTCACAAGAGCCAAATTATAGAACCAGTCTAGGTGTCTATCAAAAGGCAATAAAGAAAGTGTGGTATATATACCTAATGGAGTTCTAACCAGCCATGAAGAAGAATGAAAGTATGCCATTTTAGGAAAACAGATGAAACTGGAGAGCATCAGGTTATAGGAAAAAAGCCAGCCTCAGAATAACAGGAGAGAGTGGAGTAGTGGTCACTAGAGACTAGGCGGATCAGGGAGGGAAGGGTGCAAAGGGTAAACTAAGGGACATCAAGTCACAGAGAGGAAACACCAGTAGTCTTCTGTGACACTTAGGGTCATTATTATTATAATTCAAAATAACTAGAAAAATATACTTTAGTTTTGTTAGTAATCTTAACCAAGTGAAGCATACTACTCATAATTTTATAATTTCTTCATTCTGAAGGAGTCTTATCATGAGTATTGATTAATCTAACAAGTCATTTAGAAACATCTGTGGGAGTTACCCGCCTGCTGCAGACAGCGTGCATATCCTTTTAGTGCTGAATTGATGTATTCATTCATTCATTCATTTATTCAATGGGTATTGGCTGAATGGTGACTGTATTTCAGGTACCAGTATACTCATTGCAAAAAAGAAAAACTATCCCAGGAAACTTGACTCATTGTTGTATGTAAGTAATATAGTATATTGCTATGAGTTGTGCATAAAAAGTGAACTGAAAATAAAATGAACAAGGATCCCTGTTTGGAGGTCTTGGCAAGTGTCTCACCAGTGTATAGTTTATAAAATAACTACGGGGTATTAATGTCTTGGAAGTTGGGCTAATCCTTCAGCTAAACATTCGAGGAGTGCTGTGTATTTCTACTTCTTTTCACACAAGATGGGGGCATCTACTGCTATTTCATTGTCATTTATGAATATTTTTAAATGAATTGATTGATTATTTTAGTCAGAAACTTCTCTTGCTGCTAAAAACTTTTGCTTTTGAAAACTATTTTTATTCATATTTCCATTTTAGTAGTATCTTTTCTTTCCCTTCTACTTTATTAATTTTCCCCTTAGCTATGACCAGTCAAAAATTATATTTTTTAGTTTATGTCATGTCTAATCAATTTGTATATTTTCTCCTAGAAATATTCACTTAGTCAAAAAAAAAAAAAAAGGTTCAGATATTTTCAGTTGTCAGGCTGAGCTACCACCACGAAGAAAACACTGCCTGCCCTGCCAGGGAATGATAGAAGTGTAAATTTCCACCACATGTCATTTTTTGATTATTCTTTTTGTTCTCATATACTCCATAGTATTTTTGGAACTTTCATATCTATTTAACTTTAGAGGGGATTTTATGTCTTATTATTTGAAAAAATTGCTTTGCACATACAAGTACATACCACCCCACAGGTATGAGCGCACGTACACACACACACACACACACACACACGCACACACACACACACACACACACTACTCAAAGAATGTCATGTTGGTGAATATAAATAGTAAAAAGCATCAGCAAATTCATTATACTCTATCTACTCTTCACAGCTGAAAAGTACAAAAAAATATTTATAAAACTCTAGAAATTGAACACAAATATGTGGCCATCCATCCTAAGTGAGCCTTCAACACCCATAAGCCCATCTTTTCCCTTAGTAAGATTTCTTCCTTGTTCCCACAGATTTCTGCCAAAAGATGGTTCATCTTTTAAGCACACTTTTATTTCCCCACTATCTCACTCTGGCCCAATCCAGTTATTACAGGAAATAACAACCATCAGACCAGTTCCTGATTTCTCTTCCTCATCAACACACCTATCTACATTGAAATATATTTCAATTTCTCTATTGAAAAGTGTTTAAAAACCCTATTCTGATTTTTTTTTTATCTTTCCAAATGTCACCACCACCAGCTAACAGTTTCAGTCTTCCCTAACGTTCCCTTCTTGACCAAGAACTTCAAAAATATTCGGTTATCTATATCAGTAATCCAGATTCATATGTGAGTCAAGTTTTTTTTCCCACTTCCCTTAAATTCTAATTAATTTTGATGTATTCATTAAGTAGCTAATACAGAGCATTTATTCTACTCGACTTGGAGAAAAGGTAGCAAAAAGAAAAATCCTCCAATTCCTTGAGTCTAATAATTTAATGGAGGAAAGAGATTATAAACAAATATAGACCTAATGTATCCATCTATTCAACATATAGAATATTTGTTAAATGGCCAATGAGGATTCAAGGTTTCTCTAGCCATTGGGAAGAATAAAAGTAGTGACAGAGTAAGGAAAAATGGAAACTCTTCTCTGCCTGAATGTTATAGTCTAAGAGGAAAGAGGGGCAGGGCTGGCATGTAGTCAATCAAAGAAACATGTTGTGACATAATGATAACTGCAAGGGAGCAAATGTAAAGCATAAGTGAGACATGTGATGACTAATGGTAGGTATTGTATATAGATACATTTGTAGGAAAGATCTTAAAAATGTGGCTTTTGGATAAATCTAGAGGATGAAATAATAGCCATGTGCTGTCTGGGAAAGAGTAGGCCAATCAGAATGAACAGAAAATTCAAATGCCTGGATATAGAGTTCACTGGTCTTCCTTGAGGGCAAATTTGCCTAAAGTAAAATGAATTTAGGGAAGAGGAAATGAAGACTGCATCCAAGACTTAAGATTAAGCAGTTTTGTCTTAAATATTTATACTCTGAGCAGAACTGGTCACACCATACCTACCAGTGTCATAGCAAGGGCTTTGAGTTTACTCTGAATCAGGCGGGCTGGGGTCATTCAGCAGTGTGGGAGACTATGCCTGTGCTACGCTGCTCAGCAGATGTTTCCCAATATTGTCCCTATCCTGACAGACACACCATGTTTCGCCCTGCCATCATATTCATCTGATGGACTTGATTCTCATGACTAGGCTATGTGATAAGGCACAGTTGACTCTGGAAAGGGGAATTATCTGGGTGGGACTGACCTAATCAAATGAACCCTTTAGAAATCAAGTTCCTCTAGTTAGTTACAGAAGCAGAAATCATCTGCTGAAACCATGAAGAGGATTTGACAAGCCTCTGCTGGCTTAAAGATGGAGGGGGGCCATGTGACATGGAATGCAAATGACCTCTAGTTTCTGAGAATAATGCTTGACTGAAAACCAGCATCTAGATGGGGACTCATTCACAACCATTAGCAACTGGATCTTTCCAAACTCCAGAATGCACACAGAAGCCCCAGAGCCTCCAAATAAGAACTCAGGCCTACCTACACTTTGATTTCAGTCATAGGATGCTCTGGGCAGACAACGTAGTGATGGCACCCCAGCTAATACAGGGTTCTTATTTCAAGTTGATATATTTTGGTGATTTCTTATGTAGCAATAGAAAATTAGTGGCGTTTCTTCAACTTTGGCCCTGAATACTTTTACAACTTGAACTCCTAAAATGAAATCAC